CTGTGCTAGGCACCCCGCCCTCCATCCTTCCTTCATTGTGAAGCACCACACTGTCACTTCTGTGTCAGCACTGGACCACGCCAGAACACGTGGCCTTATGCTCCTTGCCTCGAGACAGTATCTGACACATGCAGGGTTCTCACTAGATAATGTAGTAAAGAGGTTCTGCTTGGATAAAGCTGTAGGAAATGCAGGACAATGGGAATGTCAGGGCTGAGAAGTCCCGAGGAGGGTAGGCAAGAAAAAATTAGTAAAAGAGGTTAAATTGTGAGCTGTGCCTTGAACTAGCAGATTGTTTGAAAATTCGTGTCTTGTTTGAATTTCACAAAGCTTATTAAAGTGCCTTTTGTTGGGATGGAAAAAAAGAAGTTTTTGGTCTGCTGCTGGATTCCACACCAGCCTCTGCGTGGCCTTCCTGCCTCATTTTCAGGACTCCTCTTCCTTGTCCCAATCTGTAGCCATGACATTTCCCGAAGCCCGTCCTTTGTTAACCTTCCACTCTTCTCTCTGAACTCTCTCCACTCTGCCCACCTGTGCTTGAACTTCCTCGACTGCCCTCATGCCTTCAGGCTCTTGTCCTACACTGCCAGCTGCCAGCACCACCTACCGTTCCTTACTCTGCAGCTGTCTTTATCACCACCCTTCTCCTCATCAACCAAGACCTCACCTTCCTTTTTAATCTCAATTCAAGAACTTCTCTGAGATTCTAAGATCGTTGAGGAATAAGACCGTTTCTATATAATTCATCATTGTATTCTCATTGGCTGACTGTTAGTAGACATTTCATGTTTATTGAATGAATTAATTCACTTTTCTTTAAAATGTTTGTGATTTGTCTGGTGGTGGTGGTTTAGTCGCTAAGTCGTGTCTGACTCTTGTGACCCCATGGACTGTAGCCTGCCAGGCTCCTCTGTCCATGGGATTCTCCAGGCAAGAGTAATGGAGTGGGTTGCCATGTCTGGTTTATTCTCATCATTTCTTTTACCTTTGTGTTGGCCTGACTCTTCATATTTTGTTTAATTTATTAGCTTCTAGACATGTTTCTCCGCCTATGACCTGCCTTTTCCTGGCCATTCTGTTCCTTACTCCTCGATTCGTAATATCCTTAGAACAACGTGGCATCATGAAGTATCAGTCCTTAATGATTGTTTAGTTCATGATAGAATCTAGTCTAAAATTCTCCTAAATCTCCCCCCACCCCGTTTATTTCTACTTCTCTCCAAAATGAAGCCTGCCATGCAGCCAGGTGCACCCTCCAACCCTGAGTGTGCCCTGTCAGTTGCACCTTTCCACCCTCTGTCTTCCAGTGACTGCTCTCCTCCACCGTCAGCCTCCACGGCCTCTCCAAGTCACACTCGGGTTCCATCCCTGCACCAGATTTTCCTAGTGTTTGATTCAGATGGTTCTTTCTGTACTCTGACCACATATGATGGTGATTGTATATGTATTGGGTTGGCCAGCAAGTTCCACTGGTTTTTAAGTAAAAATAAGACACAGTTTTCATTTTTACCAAGAACTGTATTGAACAGTGTATTCACAGTTTTGTTCCACTACCTTCTGCTGTTTTTTTTTCAGGCAGCTTCATAATTCCATCTTCCCAAAACTTTTTATATTTTTGAGCAAAGAACTGTGGCAGGTGTCTTTTATGGTCTTCCAGGAAATTGAGATTTTCCCCTTAAGAGAATTTTGTAAAAACCAAAACAAGTGAAAATCTGAAGTTGCAATGTCTGGTGACTGTGGTGGATGAATCAGAACTTCCCAGCCAAGCTGTGACAGTTTTTGCCTGGTCATCAAAAAAAACGTGGTCTTGAGTTATTCTGATGCAAGTTTATGCGTTTTCTCTTGACTAATTCCAGATGCTTTTCATCTAGTGCTGCCTTTAGTTTGTTTAATTGGGAGCAAGTACTTGTTAGAATTAATCATTTGGTTTTCCAGAAGGAGCTTACAGAGAATCCTCTTCCAATCCCACCCTATACACAGCATCACTTGCGGATGAAGAGCAGCCTTACGTATGATTGTGGTGCTTCATTTTGCTTGCCCCACGAGCTCTTCCATTCTGCATAATTGCACAGTGCCCACAGAGGATGAGATGGTTGTATGGCATCATCAACTCAATGGACATGAGTTTGAGCAAACTCTGGGAAATAGTGAAGGGCAGGGAAGCCTGGCATGCTGCAGTCCACGGGGACAACTGAGCAACTGAACAACAACAGCAATCCACTTTTCTCTCTCCTGTCACAATTTGCTTTGACAATTAAACATTTTTGTTACATTTAAGTAGAGAATTATCTGTATAAATATGGTCAAGAAGGTTCTTTTTTCGCTTCACTTATGTGGAACCCAAACATCAAAACGATTCACATAACCAAGCTGGTGCAAATGGTGTTCAGCAGTCGATTTGGATATTTTGAGTATGTTGGCCATGTCCTGCATGGTATAACATTGGAAGGGATTGTTCTCAGTTAAGGTCTCAGTTTGATTGCTATCAACTTCAACTGCTCTTTTCCAAACGTGGCAAAATCTATCCTGTGAGAAGTCTCCAGCACAGAACTTTGCAAGCCATTTTGACACTTCAGTCAGTCACAGCACCTTCTCCATACAATGCACAAATCTTACTTTGCATTTCAGTTGTATTCTTACCTTTCTTGAAATAATAAAGGATAATATGCAGAAAATGTTGCTTTTTTTCTCCTTTAATATTAAAAAGACTACACAAAAATTCAATAGTCTTCATTTTTTTAATGCATACTGATATGGCAGCTGTCACAATACAGTCTTACAAAATTATTTCTAACGAAATTAAAGACAGCCAAGCACTACTAGAGCCATCTTAATGGTAAAAAAGTTAACTAACTTTTTTGCCAACCTAATATTATTATTCTTTTGGTCGTTAATCCTCTGTGATCTTGGCTTTATATGTCATTTTGCCCTGGAATCATAAGTACCCTCAACAGCAGTTGTATTTGATATTATGTATTTTTGTCAATATCTACATAATACTGGCCCAAATATAATTAAGTTATGTGGAATTTAATGTATAAGTTTTGTAATGCCACCAAACAATTTCTGCAATACATTTTCTTTATCCTCTAACAGAGTCTTTGGTCATCTGTCAGTGAAGGAATTCGGGCAGTAGGTGAACGAGTGTCTAAATAAGAGGACATTAGGGGGAAAAAGGTATCCTTGAGTGTCATACTGTTAAACACGGGCTTATGATAGCACCTTGGAGCTAATGGCACTTTCATGGATGTGGTGTGATATACTTCTCTTGGTACCTCTGCAGAGAGGAGTGTGGGATCTTCCTTTCTCTTTAGGCAGCAGCATTCAGCCAGGCTCCTGAGGGGTTCAGCCAGAGCTGGAGCCCAAGTCTTCTCACTCCTTGGCTGATTAAAGTTCTATTGATAAGAAGGGTGTGGTAAAGTAACTAATTGAAGAAAAAAGACAAAGAATATTGCATATTCTTCTTGTGCTTTATTAATTAAAGCTTTAAAAATTTTAAATGTAGATTTCTTATGCTACATGACAGCTCAAAGCCTCATGTCTTCTCAACTTCTCACCATATGAAACATTTTTTTTCCTCCCCAAACTGTTTTTATGCTTATAATCTCATGTTAACTATTTGAAATAAAGCAGAATTTTAGAGGTACCCAGATGGACACAAAATTAACATTCCTCAATTTTTCCAGAATAAGACACAGTAATAACTGGTATCAGTGAAGCATTTTACAGTTTCACAGGCATAAAACTAGTTTCTCAGCATCCTTGTAAAGAAGATATTCAAATTTTAGTGATTCGGGAGCAAGTAGGCCTTCTAAGGCCAGCTCTTCCAGTGTTCTGCAGGTGGAAAAACTAGTGTGTTGTTCTCTCGTTCTGCCACATTTACATCTTTTGTTTCCACTTCTTAACTGTACCTCTGCATGCACTACTTTTAATTTTTAGCAGTCTCATGTTTTGATTTTATTTTCTGACTTTAATGGATATAATATTACATTATCATATAATATTACATATCCATTATTGTATATATTGTAGTAATGTAATATATAGTACATATGATATATATATATCCATTATTATTGGATATAATGGGATTAGAATTTGAGACAGTTATCAGCTTCTGTCCAGAGATTTCAAGAATGTAGTGCCTTTCTAGGAAAGGTTGTCAGCCTTGTGAGAGCAGGGACTTTGTGCCTGTTCTACTCACTCGTGTCCTCCCTGCCTGGAACAGTGTCTGGTGCATAGTGGGTGCTCAGTAACTACTCACATATTTTATTTTGTCTTTTTTAGAGTGATTTTTACTGGAGTCCAGTTGCTTTACAGCGCTTTAGTCTCTGCTGCACAGCAGAGTGAGTGGATCCGTCACACACACACGTCCCCTCGTGTTTAGGTTTCCTTCCCATTCAGGTCACCCCAGAGCACTGAATAGAATTCCTGGTGCTATACTACTGTATAGTTCTGGGAACTGTTTGTTTAATGAGTGCTTTAAAGGATGGGTTTTTGTATAATGCTCAACTTCTTTGATAAGGTTTTATAATAATGTCTTTAATGAACTGATGCTTAAGCATATAATTGTGTCATATACATGTCAATAGGATAAAGATAATCAGAAGCTACAGTTATAACACTAAAAAGGGTCATAAGAAAATAAATGTAATACCTATAGAGAGGTTCATTTAAGATAGGAAAAGAAAGGAATAAAAATGTGGGAAATGAGGAAACAAAAAATTTAGTTTTCTCCTTTTTTAACTATAAACTTGCAGTAGAATATTGAAAATGTGCTTCTTCTTGGCACCTAAAATTAAGATTTGCATTTTTCGTAATTCAGTTTTATGTAGAAGTGTTCAAAATATAGAATGCCCTACATACTCTAAGTTGACGTTTTGCTTTGTGTGTCCCTGAATTTAGAATGGGGAAATAAGATGATTAAGATGAAATATAGTGATAACTGTGTGTTTTGCTTAATTATTATTTTATAGATATGTGTGTTGTGGCTTATACAGGTTATTCCATCAGTTGAGAAAATTGAAAAAATCTTAAGTTCTCAACATTCTAAAGAATCATCTGCACTAGAAGTAAGCAGGTAGGTAAGTATGTTCTCTACTAAATATTACATAAATTAATACTTCGAATCTAGCCAAAATTTTTTTATTTTTTAGTTAAAATTCATTTCTGAAAAAGAAGAAAAGCCAAGTCTATGGTTCAGTGTTTTTGAGTGTAGCTTGTGGAAAGTGGAGTGTGTGAGATGATAAAGTTTATAATACATCCTTATAGAGGCTTTATGGTTATGGGCCACAGTTCCAATACATCAGTTCACAGGGAATCAGAGGAGTGTGCTTTTATTGGAAGAATTTTAGTCTTTGGAATTGCTTAGAGAAGCACTGGCAAAATTTTGTTGATCTTCAAGATATGAAATAGTTTTCTTCTTTCCTAAATTCATTTAGACCAGAGTAATGCCCAGAGTATTGCCACTTATGTATCTTACCCTAGCATTACATCATTAAGAAACAGGATAGGCACATTTAGTTAACATTTATCAACAAGAAAAAAAAAAAAACCTTGTGAAATTAGAAAAAGATGACCATTTTCTTTGTTACATACTGCAACTGTTTTCTTATCTTTCTAGTCTGAATTTTAAATCAGCCAGGTAGGTGAGTGACTCAGAAAATGAGTAGCTCATACCAGCACCATGGGAAGCACCATGGTGCCATGGACAGATTTGTGCTGTATATTCCACTGTGCAGCCAGAGCCATGAAACTCAGCTTCTGGTATCATTGACAGTGGAAGGCTAACTCCTCTGACAGGGTTGTCTGACACTGAGGTGCCATCAACCCATACCTGGCATGTAGTAGGCCCTCAGTTCCGTTGAGTTGCTTGGTCATGTTCGACTGTTTGTGACCTCATTTGATGGGTCATCCCTTCTGACCCATCCAGGGGAGCGGTTTGTTCCAAACTGTTCCAAGTCTCTTGCCCTCAGCTGTCTTGGCAGCTCCTGCCAGCTTATCCTCACTCGACATCCACCATACCTGCCTTCCTGTTTTCTTTCCATTTTTGTCCATCCCTACTCTTCCTTTGATAGAGATGCATCACAATGTCTTTTTCTATAATACTGTTCCTTTGTGGTATTCCATCTTTAATGTAATAGATATTATGCTGTTTCTTGCTTAGAATCACCTTTGAGGACTTTTTAAAAATTCAGATCAGCAACTTTGAGTTGTAGAGGAGGGAAAACCAGGGCAATGTAAATAACCGGGTAGAGCTAGAGAGAGGGAAGGGAAGTTAACAATGAAGAAGGCCCTGAATGAGAGAGGCTGGGGGAGGAGATGTAAACACCCACACTGGCCTAGGCCAGCTCTTGCTTCTCGGCTAGACCCTGTGGTCGGGGCCTGGCAGTGTCAGGGGATTATGCTTAACTTTTCTAGTTTTCCACTGTCCTAGAACATGCTGTAAAAGCTCATGGCACAAAGGATGCTATAGCTTCTACCTTATAACAAGGGGGCTATGGAAAAGCACAGTGAAAGCATCAGGATTGCTGATCGTGTGATATATTCTTGGAAATTAAAAACTTTTAGGAATTAACTCTTTTTAATTGTCTCCACTAGCCCACTTTTGACTGGACAGATGTTGGAGAGAATTGCCACAGAATTTAATCAGCTACAGTTTCATGCTGTTCAAAGCAAAGGCTTGCCTCTTTTGGGCAAAATAAGACCAGTTACTGTTGTTTTAGATTTTTCACACTTTAGTATTTAGGAATTTGCTAAATAATTTTGATTTTACCTGGTACAGGCAGACCTTGTTTTATTGCCCTTAGATTTATTGTGTGTCACAGATATTGCATTTTTTTTAAATTGAAGGTTTATTGCAGCACTGCAGCAAGCAGGTCTATCACCATGCTAGTACCCTTTTAACAGCACTTGCTCACTTCAAGTGCTGTTATCTCTGTATCTCATTCTGGTAGTTTTCACAGTATTTCAAACCTCCACCAGCAAAATGATGATAGCTTACTGAAGCTTCACATGATGGTTGCATATTTTAGCAATAAAGCATGTTTTAATTAAAGTAATTAATGTCTATATCTTGTTTGTTTTACATATAATGCTTTTCCAACTCAATATACTGTATGTAGTGCAGTATAAACATACACTTGATATCTGCTGAGAATCCAAGAAACCCCCATAACTGGCTTTATTGTGCTAGTAGTCAATTTATTGTGGTGGCTTAGAACCACACCTGCAGTATCACCAAGGTATGCCTGTATTGTTCTGACAGTTGCTGACCTACAGGATTTTGAAACTAGCTTTGAATTTTCTCTTTCACTTTTTGTGTTTTAGGCCCCTGCCTCCTAAGTGTCACACATTATAGATTTTGTGTAAAGACACAGACATATTCTCTGAGTTATAAGGGTAAAATTAATTCTAAATTTCATGTAATTTGACACACTATATGATTCAGTCAGAATTAATTTATCCAAAACTCTTGACTGGACTTTAGAATCATGATGTTTGTCAGATTTACTCTGTAGCTTAAAAGAACCTCATTCTGAAGTGATATCTAAATCCTCCTTTGATACAGCAAAGATTAACTTACAAAGAGATGTGAAGAGGAGGAGAGATTCATTGTTCCTATCCAGAAAATGTTAATATTTAATTTTACATATCTTCTGTTGGAATAAGAAATGTGTTATGTGTGTGTTTGGATCTTTAGAAATTGTTACATCTGGAGCTTTTTAACATGTCTTTCTTGCAGCGTATAGCTGGTATTACAGCCATGTTACAACAGTCACTGGAAGGCCTCCTATTAGAAGGTCTTCAGATTTCCAGTGTCAATATTATTCGGCACTGCTTACAGACTTAGGCCACAATTGACAAGACACGGGATGCAAAGGCGTCAGTTGGTCAAGTCCTCGTGAAACCATATGTAGATGAGGTTTGTGTACTGTTGAATAAGGCCTTCATTCAGCAGATGTTCATAGAGCATCTGCTCTATCTTGGATGCTTTACTGGGTGTAAGGGGTAGTTTAGAGGCCTTTCTGTAAAGATTGTAAAGATTCTTAGTTACTGTAGTACCATCAGTTTGAAGAAAATGTTGGTCCCTGGTGGTGGCAACCAGCATGCAGGAGTCAGGCACATTCTCAGTGTTTTTTAGTGATGCTGTAGCCCAGGGATCATGTTAGTTTAGTGGGAGGAGGGTCTTGCCTCTGGAGAAGGAATGTACCAAAACATTTTTAGGTCAGGTTTATGGTATGTAAATTATTTGCCACTAAATTCTTAAAATGAATTTTTAACTATCAGTCTAGTGGGTAAAATGGAACAAGTAAGCAGATACCAAAACTGCAGTGTAAGTTCCTGGTGAGGTAGCCTGCTGAAACCCTGACCATGGAAAGTCTGTGCTGAAGGTTGTCTTCACAGAGATGTGGCCTAAGTCTTGAATACTGAGGAGTCTCTTAGCCAGGAAGGTGGGAAGGAGGAAATAGTCACTGATGCAGGACTTTCATAGGCAAATTAGCAGCATAATACCCTAAGTCCAGAACTTGACTATCCAGTGTCCTTCATTGCCAAGGATGCAGTTAAACTTTGGAAAGTAAGCATATTCTGCCTTTGAGTAGCCAGGATGTAGACTGTACCATATGAAGTTGCCAATACTCAACGTTTTCTGACACACAAAAATGGCAGCTTCATCTGGTTCAAACTGATGAAAATCACAAGCCCATCCTCAGTGTTTGCAGACTGCTCTTCCTGTCCAGTAAGCACAAAGCCCTGTTCACCATGACTTTGGGATGAAAGCCTCCCATTTATAAATGGGGGACATGGAATCATATTGATAAAAATGAAATGTAAGGGTTAACTTCAGTAATCATTTCAGCTTTTATTAGAGTTACTAAAAATAAATGATCTGTCAGTTTCCTCTCTTCCTATCCTGTTATATTTCTTACCTAACTTGATAAGAATGAAAAAGACAAATTACCTATATTATTTCTGTCTCAGTAAGTGAAAATTGTTACTAACTTATGCCTTTGTTTTTCATTGAACTGAACCTAATGTGCTAAATGAGAGAAACATTTGATGTTTCAGTGGCATATTAAATAAACCAAGGCCACATTTTATTTTTTTTTTTAATTTGTATGCTTGTCATTAACCTCTTGACTCTCAACCTTAACACAAAAGATAAAATAATAGAGTAAAATAAAATATATATTTCCATCTCTCTCTGTCTCACGCCTTCCCCTGATCTAAATTATGGTAGAAGAAAAGGCCGAGGTCAGTACAGGGAGGGGCTGTTGTTATGGGAAATTGTCATTTTATTTTGTTTTCAGTCTTGGGAGGGGAGGAGGCAAATGTGCTTGGCTTTCCAGCTTCAGGTCAGTCTCTGTCATCCAGCCTGTGTCTCCCCTGGATCAGAGCTGTGCTTCCAAATCCTGAAACTAGTTCTGAGTATAGCTGTTACTGTTAGAAAACATGTTAGCTGGGGAGGAGGGGGCATGAGGAAGCATACTTTTAAGGTTTTCTCTATTTTTCCTGTAGTGTGTAATTCATACCTCTTTTTGAGATGCTTTTTAAAAATGCTATTCTCTTAATAGGTGATTCTAGAGCAGATTGTTGATAGTCGTCTGAGTGATCTCCAGCTCATGTATGATAAACTCTTGGAGTTCGTTCCCCATCACTGCTGCCTTCTTTGAGAGGTCACAGGAGAAGCCATCTCAAGGTAGTTTAAGCAGCTGTACTTAGAACTTGCGCCTGCTGATTATTGCTGCCTCGTTTGGTTCAGGTTCATATGCGCTCCCCTGGTGAATTGTTAGCATGGCACTATGAGGTGGGTGTGGGTCATTCTCAGAAGGAAACTGTAATGAGTAGGGCAGAGGTAAAGGGTACATCTTTGTGAATTCACAACCCATATTTTCCCCTTTTGTGTACTTTTTCCTCAATTACATGTGAAATAAAAGTTGGTTTCCTTCCATTATTCTGATGTTGTCATCTGTTTATAAATATGAATTCCATGTAATTCAACAAGTTTTATATTAATTGTGGTTAAAGTCATCTTCAGTTTTCCCTCCTCTTGCCTGATTTCCATACTTTTCGCTTTGTTTCATAAATACCCGGCTGCCTTTTACCATCACCACTGGCCTGACCCGGGCCTTTGTCATAGTTTTACCCAGAATAACAGGATCTGCCCACCTCCTCTCCCTGCCTCCACCCTCTCCCTTCTCACCCTTCCCCTCTGCCCTTTGGCTATCACATTGACCCACAATTCTGATATTTAGGCACTGCCTTCTTCCTAAGTCTTTAGTGGCTTCTTGTGTGTGGAGGAAAGTCTAGGCGTCTTGATGCAGTGTACGAGGCCCTGCACACTCCGGCCTCAGTGGTCCTTGTGTGTGGCACTCTGTCAGCTTCCCTTGCTCCGCTGGTCCCCGGCACACATTTGGTGGGTCTGTGTTTTTCCTCAGAGTCCTCTGCCTTTCCCTTTCTTTTTGTTGATCTGTCATCCCGTGTGAAGCCCCAACTCAGATGCCACTTCCTTCAAGAGACCTCTCACCTTTCATCCTGAAGTCTAGCTTTCATCCTGTTCTCTGCAGGTGATTGCATGTTGCTTTCACTTCTGTTGAGGACTAGTTTCCATCTTAACAGCTTGCTCCCATCCTGCACAACCCATACTCCCCACCCTTGGCACAGTGTCTTAAGGCAGCAACTATCCAATGTTTGTGAAATGAAAGACTCAGTCAATTTGCAGCATTAGAAAGGCAAATCTAGTCCCTTTCTTCATGGAGTGAAAATTATTTTTAGCCTTGAAATTTTTTTTTTTTTTTTGAAAAGAGAAACCTGGGGAATAAATGTGCTGATTGACTGGGAAGTACCCTCTCTGTTTCCACTAGATGATTTCAGATGAAGATTTGTTTTGCCACTTTTGTGTAATAATAGTCAAGATTTAGTTGGATTTGGATTTGGGGTAAGAATTTAATAGAAGTCATCATGTGAAATTAAAGAGGGAACAGTAACGAAACAACGGATCCTTAGATTTGACAAACCTAGTCTTGGTCCTGAAATGTCAAGTTTCATGTCTCACATATTTGTTCTTTTCCACAGTTTTCAGAGTGGCAGAACTCATGTAGAAAGCTCAGAAATTTGAGTATCTAGACTGTACTTTGGTAGGTCACCTGCCTTTGCTTCACACCACATCGTCTTGTTGCCCTGGACCCTCCCTGGCTCAGCATCTGCCTTTGGGTGCTCTGTATATCCAGCAATAGCAGTGATGTTCAGGAGTTATTTTCCAGAGGACATAAATTAGCTTTTCTAACTGTTGATCTTCCAGAGTTAAATTTTCCTTTTGAGGCTTTAATTGTATATTTAGTTTGTAAATGAAGTGATCTTGTCATTCATTGTTGCTCAGATTATGTGCATTTGTATTCTACAATCTTCAATTTTGTTCTCTCTTCCTATACCTTATTAGAGCTAGTTCTTATTGAGATTAAAAGTATATGATATGATACGTGGAACTGGGTATGTGGGATATAGGCATCTCCTTTCCCTCATCAAATAGAAAGAAAATTACCTTAATATAGAGCATGTTAACAATGCAGCAAAGTGGGTAGGTCAGTGAGATGGTGTTGCCTAAAGATATTTACAGATTTTTAAGTAGAGAGAAACTTAAGGAACCCGCCTTTTTAATTTATGCACTGTGTATTTAACACTATTAACATAGCACTTACTATATGCCAGTAAGTGCTAAGTGCTTTACAAAGCGTACACCATCCTAAATGCTTTACAAACCTTATTCCATATAATGACCCTATGATTTTAAAGATGAGGAAACAAAAACATCGGTAAATGACTCGAGATTTGAACTCAGGTGCTGTGGCTCCTGAGAGCATGATTTTCTCTCAGTGTTCTCTCTCACCTAAGTGTGTGAATTAGAAACTCAGAATTTGGCCTTTTTGCTGACAACACAAAATAAAGCATGTGCCTATGGAAACCATGAATGTTATCAGTTTTTTTTTTTGTATTAAGAGTTGCAATCCAGATTTTACATGAAATGGTCATAGAACGTTAGACGTGAAGGTAATCAGAGATAGCTGAGTCACAAAGCTGTTAGTAATTGGTAAATTAGTGTGATTAACAGTGTTTTAGAGCTGAGTGGTGTTAAGGTTGAATACAAAGATGGCTTTTATTGTGGTATTAGATTGCTTCTTTTTCAAGATAGTGTATAAACATGGTAGCCCATTTAAGGGGAGAAAACTGTGCAATGGTTTTGATTTGCATTTCTCTGATAATGAGTGATGTTGAGCATCTTTTCATGTGTTAGCCATCTGTATATCTTCCTTGGAGAAATGTCTGTTTAGTTCTTCACTCCATTTTTTGATTGGGTCATTTATTTTTCTGGAGTTGAGCTGGAGGAGTTGCTTGTATATTTTTGAGATTAATCCTTTGTCTGTTGCTTTGTTTGCTATTATTTTCTCCCAATCCGAGGGCTGTCTTTTCACCTTGCTTATAGTTTTCTTTGTTGTGTAAAAGCTTTTAAGTTTCATTAGGTCCCATTTGTTTATTTTTGCTTTTATTTCTAAAATTCTGGGATGTGGGTCATAGAGGATCCTGCTGTGATTTATGTCAGAGAGTGTTTTGCCTATGTTCTCCTCTAGGAGTTTGATAGTTTCTGGTCTTACATTTAGATCTTTAAGCCATTTTGAGTTTATTTTTGTGTATGGTGTTAGAAAGTGTTCTAGTTTCATTCTTTTACAGGTGGTTGACCAGTTTTCCCAGCACCACTTGTTAAAGAGGTTGTCTTTTTTCCATTGTATATCCTTGCCTCCTTTGTCGAAGATAAGGTGACATTGGTTCCTGGATTTATCTCTGGGCTTTCTATTCTGTTCCATTGACCACAATGAGGTACCATTATACACCAGTCAGGATGGCTGCTATCCAAAAGTCTACAAGCAATAAATGCTGGAGAGGGTGTGGAGAAAAGGGAACCCTCTTACACTGTTGGTGGGAATGCAAATTAGTACAGCCACTATGGAAAACAGTGTGGAGATTTCTTAAAAAACTGGAAATAGAACTGCCATATGACCCAGCAATCCCACTTCTGGGCATACACACCAAGGAAACCAGATCTGAAAGAGACAGGTGCACCCCAATGTTCATTGCAGCACTGTTTATAATAGCCAGGACATGGAAGCAACCTAGATGCCCATCAGCAGACGAATGGATCAGGAAGCTGTGGTACATATACACCATGGAATATTACTCAGCCATTAAAAAGAATTCATTTGAATCAGTTCTAATGAGATGGATGATACTGGAGCCCATTATACAGCGCGAAGTAAGCCAGAAAGATAAAGACCGTTACAGTATACTAACACATATATATGGAATTTAGAAAGATGGTAACGATAACCCTATATGCAAAACAGAAAAAGAGACACAGATGTATAGAACAGACTTGTGGACTCTGGGAGAAGGCGAGGGTGGGATGTTTCAAGAGAACAGCATCGAAACATGTATATTATCTAGGGTGAAACAGATCACTAGCCCAGGTTGGGTGCATGAGCCAAGTGCTCGGGCCTGGTGCACTGGGAAGACCCAGAGGGATCAGGTGGAGAGGGAGGTGGGAGGGGGGACTGGGATGGGGAATACATGTAAATCCATGGCTAATTCATTTCAATGTATGACAAAAACCACTGCAATGATGTAAAGTAATTAGCCTCCAACTAATAAAAATAAATGGAAAAAAAAAAACTGTGCCATGGCATGTTGGCGTAGTTTTCCATTATCCTTGACCGCAGTTGTCTGCTTTGTTTGCTATAATTGTAGGAGTCAGGACACAGAGGCTGTGTCAGGTTCTACGTGAGAATGAGATCAAGGAGTGAAATAGAAGTTTGGGCCTGAAAACAAAATAATTGACAAATACAGTTGTTTTTGAAAGGTTGAAGTAAATTTTAGGCCGAGGAACTTTTATTTTACTAAAACACTACAGTGGAATTTCGCTTTTTGTAAGTAGATGTTTCTGGTGTATTTGACTGAAATTTTTCTCTTATCTTACAGTGAAAAGGGCAATACTATTCCCAGCTATGATTTTTTGGTGAATTCTCTCTGGCCAGAAATAGTACGAGGATTAGAAGAAAAGTTACCCTCGCTTTTTAATCCTGGGGATCCTGATGCATTTCACCAGGTACCTTTCCCTCTGGTTGTCTTGATTCTGGAAGGTGTTAACCTGAGATAATCATGTCTTTTTTGCACAGTCTTTTGCACAGTTCTGTGGTTTATTGAAAATCACAGTCTGAGTTGTGGAGCCAGCATTTACCTTAAAAATACACGCATTATTTTATTCAGGTCATAGTCTCTGATACTTTGGGGACTAAGAATATTTTTTAGAATGTAAGGTAGAGTTCAGTCGAGAAGCAGTTATGACTAGATATGGATGTTTTTTATCTAAATTTTAAAAAAGATCTTAAGGACTGTTGAAAGGAAATTTCTTTACAGTTGTTTTTGATGAAAAATTGTTTGTAGAACTCTTCTATATCACTTTGAAGGAAAACAAGAAATAGTAATTGTATTGTAGTATATATATTATATAACTAATATTGTAATTATTAATGTAGTATAAAAATGTCCTATATAATTTGAAAGCTTAGGAGGCCTTGATATTTCTTTTTTTTTTTAAATCATGTTTTTTATTTAAAGAACTTAGTGGTTGATATAGCAAAAGGAAACCCATATGTTAATTTTCCGTTTTTTAAAGATGTTCTGTAGTGTCCTGGAGAGGAATGAAGACTCTAGGCCGAATGGCTGAGTCTGCACCCCGCTCTCCTACTCAGCCTCTTGGTGCCTCTCCTCCTCTTCCTGCTCTGTATTTTGATTTTTGTTTATTTTTTTATTCAATATGACAACCTTTGTCTTTTAATTAGGTAATTTATAAAATTGACAATGATCATAGTGATTGATATATTTGCGGTTTTTTAGTTCTTCCTATTTGTCCCATTTTTCTTCCTTCTTTTCCTTTCTCTCTCTCTCTTTTTTCTTTTTCTTTCCCGCCTTTTTTATATTGTGCACTTTAGAGAATTTGTTTTTCTCATTTATTCTCTTTTACACCTCTACTAATTTGGAAGTTCTGCCCTCCGTTTATTTGTGTATTAAGTAACCTTAGTGTTTACTTAACAGAATTTAAAGTTACTGGTGTCCTCAGCCTCTCATACAGAACAAGGATCTTAGATACCAATCATGCCATTCCATAGTATATGTTAGTTACCAGGGTCTTATTTCTATTTTGATTTTTTATGCCCCCCAATTGGACATTACTTTATTGCTTTAACATGGCCATCATCCTCCTCTTATAATTATTCCACATGTTTGTCATTTCCTTTGCTTATTGCTCCTTCTTGGGTGTTATACCTTTTCTCTTGGATAATTTTCCTTCCTCCTGAAATTCATCTCTTACAAATTTCTGTTGATAATAAATTTCACTTTTTTATGATAAACCCTCAGTTAATATTTGTTTGCAAATAACTATACCTTTTATGTTTGAGACATAGTTTTGCTGGAAGTATTATTCTCTGCACTTTGAACTTTGTCACTTGAAAGTAGTTGTTGCTGTTGTTCCTTGGTAGTTATAATGGCTTTTCCCCCTGGCTTCTTTTAAAATTTTCCCAGTGACTTTAGTGTGCTGTTTCATTCTGATCTATCTAGTGTGGACTTCTTTTCATTTGCTGAATTTAAGATTTGTTGGGTTTTCTGAATCTGAGGATTGATGTTTTTTTAAATCATTTCTGTATCATTTTTATTCATTAACTCAGTTGTGCTTCTGTCTCATTCCTTTATTATTTGCTTTTAGATATCTTAATTAATTATCCTCACTTTATCTTTCATGTTTCCTGAATTTACTTTTTTATTTTTCATCTCTTTGTGCTTCATTCTGGGTAATTTCTTGGGATTTTTCTTCTACTTCAAGAATTCCTTTTTCAGTTGTGTCTAAATTCCTTTTCATGTGTTTCAAATTTATCATTATTTTCACTTCTAGCAGCTCTATTTGCCTCTTTTTCTAATTGTGCTTGGTCGCTTTGCTTACTGATTTTTAAAGTGTAGAGAGGCACAAGTTGAGTGTGGTGAGCCTGGGCCTGATAACTTCACAACAGGAGAAGTTCACAAAGTTAGAACTTTACTATCAGAAATACCACTTATCTGTTCTCTTGACCCTTGTTACAGTGTGCTGAACCATATAATTAAGTAATATGATTTTCAACCAATTGTGTGACACTGAGTTTTGTGACTTTATAAAATAGATCTTTGTAAGTAAATAAAGTAGGGCTTTTAAAAATAGATACCATAAGCAGAATGAGGTAATCGTCTTAAGCATTAGCAATGCTAATGCTAGACCCTTTACAACCCTCTTTAGAGAATCATATTGATCATGGTAGGCTCAGGAGATTTTTCAGCCAGGAATGAAACTTTCTGATGAAATCATTGACTTTAGAATTCTAAACCAATACTTAATGTTTGTGGTTACATTTCTTGCAAGAAATGCTTTCAGTTTTCAGTGTTAATGAGACATGCTTTTGAGAAGAGAGAAGTATTTTTGCATTGCTTTAACATCCATTATATGCAGGGGTGTGGTTTTATCCCAAAAGGGATGAGTAATACTTTTCTTTGTCTCAGCTCCTCACATCTAGACCACACTTAGGGAATCCAGTAAGTGTAGATAAGAGTCAGACACAATTGCATGACTTCACCTTCACTTTTCACTTTCATGCACTGGGAAAGGATTTGGCAATCCACTCCAGTGTTCTTGCCTGGAGAATTCCAGGGACAGCGGAGCCTGTTGGGCTGCCATCTGTGGGGTTGCACAGAGTCGGACAGGATTGAGGTGACTTAGCAGCAGCAGCTCCAAACCAGTTGAAAGAAATTTAACATTATATGGTGTTTACTGTACTACAATTCCCATGTAATCACAGACATCGTATTTAGGCGATTGGTTTGGTGACCCAGAAGAGAGCTTCTCTTAAGTGAGAAGTACATGGAAAATCCTGCAGTGTTCTCCCTAGAGCCTAGAGATTGAGAGCCCTTGCCAAAGGATGTGCAGCTGCAGTTTTGCACTGCTGACTGGGCTTCTGGTTCTTATATTACCTTGCTTTGTTTCTGAGTCAGTTCTCTCTGAGCCTGAGCAGAAGAGGAAGTGTCATCTCTATGGGAGATGATAATAAAAACAGTTAACCTAGTAGTGTAGTTTTCTGGGTTAAATTAAATAATAGAATTGTAAGCAGTGTCCAGATGATATATATTCAGTAAGTGTTACCTGCTACTCTTAAGTGGTGTTGCTAGATTCCCCTTGTCAGTCTTCATGCTGTCCCATCTATAAAAATGATGTAATTACTCACATGGCTTGAGTAATTGCTTTCCTTTTCTTCCCTCCTTTCTTCCCTTTCTTTAAATTTTCTACTTCTTCTCAAAAGGCAGTGAAAATTATACCATTTAATCTGTGATCTCCCGTGGTTCCAGTGGACAGTTAGGGGTGCCCTAGAAGATGAGTGAGAGCTGTCACTTAAAGTCCACTGGACTTAGAATACCTGGGTTTCTTGATGGGCTTGCCACCTAAGACCTTGAGCAAGTCATAGAACCACTTTGGGCATTACTCAGTGTGGGAATCTTCAGAGGAAGATCCTGTAAGGGCCTAATGAGATCTCAAACCTATGATTCTGTGTGTTGATCTTTATCTTGATTTCCATTTTTCAGTATATGATCCCGATTCTGGTTAGTTTCCTTAAAATGAAAATTCCACCTGTTTGTTCTTATTTTAGAAATATACCACAAGTATGGATTTTGTAAGAACATTTGAACAGCAATGTGGATCACAGGCCAGTGTAAAAAGATTAAGAGCACATCCTGCCTATCACAACTTCAATAATAAGTGGAACTTGCCTGTTTATTTTCAAATAATGTCAGTTATTTATTCCCATCACCTCCACCTTTCTGAAATAGGATTTGAACACCAGTTCAGATGGACTGAACTCCATCTCACAGCCCCTTCTTGGAGATCATGATATTATTCCTTGGGAAACAATTTAGAGCAGAAACACACAAGAAGTATCATGATTGCCAAAGTTCTGGCCTGTATGACAAAAGGATTAAGTTTTACTCTCTTGTCATTAGCAAGCTGAGAACACTAGACTCCAAGAGAGCTAGACCAGGCCCAGTTTCATTACCAGGTGCTATGTGTTCATTCAACATGAAGAGACAGAGAGAGCTGGTCACCTAGAAGCTCTTCCTCTCCATTTTCCTCTTCCATCACTTGCTTCAAATAGCAGACCTATCCTTCATCTGTAGTTTTGCTCATCTGTAACATTTTTATCCTCAGAGGGAATCAGGAAAAGTGTTCTTTCTTGAAATATTCTTTGTAGCTGATTCCATCCATCAATGTATAAGAATTGTAGTTATTATTTTGGCTTCCTTTATAATCTTGGTGAGTATTCTGGAAAATGGTGACACTTCCTTTCCAGATAGCAGAATGATATCACCAGTGTCAGTGGTCCTGTAGACAATTTGGTGGCAATTTAGGATAACTTCTTAACAGTGTATGTTCCCCTAGAAAAAGATTCTCTCTCTTTTTTTTTTTTCATTTATTTTTATTAGTTGGAGGCTAATTACTTTACAATATTGTAGTGGTTTTTGTCATACATTGACATGAATTAGCCATGGATTTACATGTATTCCCCATCCCGATCCACCCTCTCACCTCCCTCTCCACCCGATCCCTCTGGGTCTTCCCAGTGCACCAGGTCCGAGCACTTGTCTCATGCATCCAACCTGGGCTGGTGATCTGTTTCACCCTAGATAATATACATGTTTTGATGCTGTTCTCTTGAAACATCCCACCCTCGCCTTCTCCCACAGAGTCCAAAAGTCTGTTCTATACATCTGTGTCTCTTTTTCTGTTTTGCATATAGGGTTATCATTACCATCTTTCTAAATTCCATATATATGTGTTAGTATACTGTAATGGTCTTTATCTTTCTGGCTTACTTCACTCTGTATAATGGGCTCCATTTCATCCATCTCATTAGAACTGATTCAAATGAATTCTTTTTTAATGGCTGAGTAATATTCTATGGTGCATATGTACCACAGCTTCCTTATCCATTCACCTGCTGATGGTCATCTAGGTTGCTTCCATGTCCTGGCTATGATAAACAGTGCTGCGATGAACATTGGGGTGTGCGTGTCTCTTTCAGATCTGGTTTCCTCGGTGTGTATGCCCAGAAGTGGGATTGCTGGGTCATATGGCAGTTCTTTCCAGTTTTTTAAGAAATCTCCACACTGTTTTCCATAATGGCTGTACTAGTTTGCATTCACACAAACAGTGTTAGAGGGTTCCCTTTTCTCCACACCCTCTCCAGCATCACTCACTATCAGAGAAATGCAAATCAAAACCACAATGAGGTATCATTACACGCCAGTCAGTATGGCTGCTATCCAAAAGTCTACTAGAAAAAAGATTCTCTTGAATGAGATCACTGTGAGTTCCTCCATAGAATGGTGTTAACTAGAGCCTTTTATTAGTTAGAATAGTTTTTAAAGACTTGCAAGCTTTTTGTTTAAATTGCTGGATGTTTTCATTAATTATGATGCAGTCCTTCCCTGGAGTTCTGAGGAATAATTACAGAGAGGGAAATATATTAAATCCCTTGAATTGCCATGATTGAGAATGTATATAATCCTCTTTTGATGATGAAATCAAAGCTGTCAGACCATTAGTATGGTGTTCTTTTACTTACAATACTGAGCTTTATACTTAACTTTTCAAGTTTATATTATCATGTAGGTAAGAAATTAAGGATTTGTTTGTCTGAGATACTCATGGATTGCATGGGATGTAATCATTACGTGATGCTCAAGATGTAGCCAGGGAAAGAAGCCCTTTTGGTTTGTGAGAAAAATTTAAAATGGTGAAGCATCATTTTATAGTGTAAGAGTGCAGTAGAGAAATAATATTTAAATTTTCCGTGTCTCCTGTAGTCTACGTTTTGGCTTAGATTGCTTTAGATATCTAATAACCATCACAGCCCATACTCCTGTTTACTGCCTCCAAACACCTCTTAGCTAGTCATTTCCCCAGACCCCAGACCCGCACACTTGGTAATCTTGCACAGTCATGTCATTCTGCCTTCTAGAGCTCTGGGCCTGCAAGGTAGCACAGCCTGGCCTCAGCCCATCCTCCTCTCATCATAGGTTCTCTCAAAGCTGGTAATTGAGTCTTAAACTATGTTGAAACTCAGCCAGTCCCATGAAAGACTTTTTTTTTAAACTAGTTTATTTATTTTTATTTTTTTACATTTACTATTTTAATAGTTGAACAGTGCGCCTCAAAAGTTCTGTCATCAATACACAGTGAATGGACTCCAGTGATGAAGGTTCCAGAGAGATGGCAAACTACTTTAAAGTGAAAGCTTGTGATGGAGTGTCTCCAAATTGGAGGAGACAAGAATATGGGCTAGGGGATATAGGCAGGGTAAAGAAATTTCAAAGCACTACTGCTTAGGAGTATATATATTTCAAGACAGCTACTATACCTTGGCTATGCTTTATCCTGATCTGGAATAACTGCATGTTCATGCCAAATAAACTTTCTACTTTCTAGGAAGAGGAGAAGTCTGTTAGGAAAAGTATGTTCTTAGTCAGGGGAAGATGTGAAGACATTTCTCTCATACGTCCTCTTTTATTTGGTGATGTCTTTTGATGTCTTTTGGCAACATCACTGTATGCTATTTCAACCTTCTTATCACTGGGGCAGATGTTGGTGAACTCATCTCTACTGTAGGCATTAGTTAGTTACCTCCAGGTGCCAGTCATTCCTTTTGGAATATCAAAGTTGGGGTATTTTTTCGCCACCATCTTGACAATGTGCAGCTTGGGCAGCAGGTTGCAGTCAGTTAGTGTTGTTTCATTGCCATCCAGAAATTTACGTGTGGAAAACTTAATGTCCTCCATACTAGTTTCATCAATTTCATCAGGGAGGGGAGAATTCAGATATTCATCTACTTTCTGCAGTGTTTTCACGAGACCCCACGCCACTGCTGCATTAGCCTCTGGCCTTGAATTCTTGATATATGCAGAGAATTTGGCAAAGATGTCCATTCCAGCAGTATTTGATTCTGGGTGTTTTGGTGAAAGCTTTAAGTACTTGGGAGGTCATAAGACTTCTTCAAGAAATTCTTCAATCTTATTTACATCCATTTTGACCTTTTATACTAACACATATATATGGAATTTAGAAAGATGGTAATGATAATCCTATATGCAAAACAGAAAAAGAGACACAGATGTATAGAACAGACTTTTGGACTCTGTGGGAGAAGGTGAGGGTGGGATGTTTCAAGAGAACAGCATCGAAACATGTATATTATCTAGGGTGAAACAGATCACCAGCCCAGGTTGGATGCATGAAACAAGTGCTCGGACCTGGTGCACTGGGAAGACCCAGAGGGATCGGGTGGAGAGGGAGGTGGGAGAGGGGACTGGGATGGGGAATACATGTAAATCCATGGCTAATTCATTTCAATGTATTACAAGAACCCCTGCAATGTTGTAAAGTAATTAGCTTCCAACTAATAAAACTATATGAAAAAAAAAGACAACAACAACAACAAATAAATAAATAAATAAATAAATAAATAAATAAATAAATAAATAAATAAAAAGTTATAAATGGTGGGTGGGTCCCTGGAGCCAAGTTCTGCAGGTCTGCAGGCTTCCGTTTCAGGTCAACAGTTGTGACACAACCCCTTTGAGCCGAAGAATCATGAAGAGCCTCTGGGAAAAGGGGCAGTTTCGTATGCTTTCACCATCACTGCCAGCCTTGACAAGAGCTCAATGATGGGCTCTTTGTCCTCCTCCTTCAACCCGTGCAGCAGCATCAACGATGCCATGGCCAGTTCGGCTGGGCTCCGCGGACAGCAGTGGTGGCGGCGGCCGTTTCTGCTACGGGACTGCTCTACAGGCTCCTGCCACGCTGCAGCTCCTTGGACTGTTCTGGCATCTAGCTCGCCTCAGCCTCCGTGCCTCAGGCTCGTCTCCTCAGCACAGCCCCACACCCCACACACGCGACTCTGAGGCTCTGAGGCGGCCGCAGCCCCGGCCCCTTCAAGTTGCCAGGGCGGGGTGCCGGGGCATTAAAAACATTTTTAATCTTCACCAGAGTTTAGCCGTAAGCATTCAAAGGAATTGCTTAACTTTTTGTTGTGAATAGTTTTATTTAAAATTGATGAAATTAAAAAAGTTATATTTGAGTTATGAAGTGTGGAACCTGTTTTCAGTGCATTTGCTCTTCCACTTAAAAAGAAATTTAAGTAATACTTTATAGAACACTATTTTGTTGATTTTTGTCAGTGGTTGGGTTATTTATTCTCTGGGATAACAGAATGTTCTGCGAACATGGCTGGTGTCAAAGCTGTTTTGCTGTCTGATTCACTTCAGGGTCATTTAAAGTAAGCCTAAACGCCAGTAGGGTGGTGATGTTTCAGCAAATTTCTAGGAAGGAATATCGGTACTAATATTGCACTCTCAGTAGCAATCAGATAGTCCCGGGTCTGACTCTGTGCCGACATTCCCATCATCTTCAGGAAAAAAAGCACCCCTCCCACCACCACCATTCTATGAGCACACGGGCACCCCTTCTGTCTCTGGTCCCCTACTGTGTCAACACACCCTATTGTGTCAACACTTCATTTGCTCTTCCAAGGGTTTTGGAAAGCAGGGTTAGGCATTAGTTTTCATAGAAAAAGATTCAATACACATGGGCCCCCAGCAGTCTCAAATGGTAGTAAATCAGTGGCTGCCTGGAAGCTGAGTGTTAGCACCTTAAATGCTACAGACAGTGGTATGTCTTTTTTGATTGAACTCTTGCTAGAATGGTGTATGCTCCCAGGATGGTCACATGTGTGTTCTCTGCCTGCTCCATTCAGCACATGCTTAGCATGGTGTAGCTCCTTTACTGCATGGAGTCTGTGTGGTACTGATGCACCTTCCTTCCCTTCCACCCTCCTCAAGTTGTGTCCATGTGTCAGTAGAGCCATGTGTGGGGGAGGGGGTGTGTGTCTCCAGATCATCCCCATACCCAAATGGAAGAGTTTAGGAGTGTTTGTATTTGGGGTTACCTTTCTTACAAATCCTCTATCAAGAGTAGAATGGCATCCCATATACATGTGAAAACTGTAGCATAACTTCAAATTTCACCAAAGTAATATCTCACTTTGTTTATTTTCTAAGAAGTACAACCTAACACCTCAATCCTGGAAGTTACTGGCCAGTAAAGCTACTTGAGGGGCTGGTGCTGGGCTCCTGGAGGGTAGGGAGAGGGGACAACTGGGTCACATGACAGAGACAGTTTTAGTCTTAGGGATCTCACACCTGGTCACACGTCATCTGCACGTCTGTTTAAAAGGCATTAATGTTAGGGGTCTGCTGCATTTGTGCCTTGCACTTTCTCATTGGTATGGTTTTCAGATTGTTGTGGCATACATACAGTTTTATCCTGTGTCCTTACTTACACTGAATGATACCTGTTCCTCTGATGGCAGCAGAACTTCCAGCTGACCTCTCTTCACGCTGCATTCAGTAGGAACTGTGCCACATGTTATGGAAACCTTCCCTTCCTTGGGGCTGTGAAGGTGGCTTCTGGTTTCCCACGTTCTGAACAATGCTGTGTTGGTGTCAGGCCTTTTCTGTGCTGAGGCTTCCTTCCTGTGTTTCATGTGTTAACAGATGTGGGCAAACGGTGGGATTCGGGGTCTGAGGCAAATGCAGGAGCTGGTCTGCTCTCTTCACTGCAGAGCAGCCCCTGCCCTCTTCTCCCCAGTGTGCTCAGGAGCACTGCCTTCTTTGCGGTTCTCCAGTGCTCTCTTCTCTTCCTCCACTGCTCTTCTGCCACTTGTTGCCTCTGTGCCTCTCCCAGCTGCTTGGAGAGACTCGGCTTTCACAGGCTTCATGGGGCAGTTGCTGAGTTCTTTCCTGCGTGTGGCACAGGGAAGCTGTGGGGAGCAGCTAGCTCCAGCAGGCAGGGTGGGCCAGAATCCTCTGCTCTCAGCCACTCATGCCTTTGAGGGCAGGGCTGCTGCTCATTCTATGAAGTGCTGCTGCATTTACTCTCCAGTTTCCTGAAGATCAGTCTCTGAACTGCTTTTTAAAAGCATATAAGTACTATCCAAAAAACCAAGATTGTGGATTAGCTAAATTGATGTTAAGTATGTGTCAGAATTTATCGGTAGCAAGGGAACTAGTGAGTGACAGAAGAATGTATGGTAAAGAAAGTATGAACATGGAAGGGTTATATAGCTGGGAAGGAGGATGCTACATAGGCAGCTAATTAAGGAAATGAATACACACAGGGTTTCATTTCACAGTCATAAAAATGTGTCCACATCAGGTATTAAAACAGAAGGCTGTGAGAAGATGGTATGAAATGACAAATGGCCCAGCAGAGAAAACATAAAACCCATCCAGAAAGCAGATCCTGAGCCTCAGGGTGGGCCTGCAGTTACCAATAGCAGCACGAGAGACAGGCAGCAGACATCTGATGAGCGCCAGGCAGAGACTTGTTTTAGTTTAACTGCCTACTTTCAGTGGTATGTCTCAAGCTGCAAACAAAGATACAGAATATAGCTTCTCCATTTCTTAGTTTGAGGGACATTTGCTTTATTCTGATAGTGTGGAGCTAAGAGGACCAGAAAAACCAGTCTTATGGCCCTGAAGTGATTACCTGATTATAGGTGGTAGGGCTTGCCAGAAATGGCTTCCTGGTCAAGTAATTCAGATAAGTTTATTTCCTGCTCAGTAAGAAAAAAAAATCTGGAGGCCAGGCATCAGGGCTGCTGGGGCATCTCTGAGGCACTGGCCCTACAAGCAAGCAGGAGAATGGTCCTATTGCCTGGGGAGAGGGAGGTTGGGGGAAGAGGCACCTGAAGCAGAGAAAACAGCCATTTACACTCTTGTTTTTTCTCTCAGATTTAGAGAAATAATGGGATCCTTAGAGGCAGCACTTACAGATGTCCTCCTGGGAGATGCACCAGGTAACATCCTCAAAGTGACAGAGGCTATCGTTAAGTGGGCTAATTCCTTTCACCAAGTCTTCTTGGTGGCCTTAGTGCCCTGGGAGCACTTTGACCTTTTGCTGTCTTCCAGTAGTGTTACTTGCTCAGTCGTGTCCAACTCTTTGCAACCCCCTGGAATGTAGCCTATCAGGCTCCTCTGTCCATGAAATTTTCCAAGCAAGATTACTGGAGTGTGTAGCCATTCCTGACCCAGGGATCAAACCCAGGTCTCCTGCATTGCATGCAGATGATTTACCGTCAGAGCCACCAGGGAAGTAAGTTAGACCCTGAAGATACAGTTTAAGTTCTTTTTTAAAAAAAGGTTTCTAGAGCTTCCAGCTGTATAGAGATGATGTAAAGGATACTTTAAGAACAAGGGAAGGACACCACATTTTCGCTTCTGAATATAATGTGTCAAGGGGATATAACCCCTGCTGTGCTTAAGTAACAGCCTTTTTTTTTTTTTTTTTTAGCCTTGTGGCTACCCTCCACTTCCCTCTCAAGCTGAGGGAAGGATCAGAATGTCCCTTCCCTCCAGATGATGACTCTCAGCTCGGACTGCTGCCTCAGGCCTCCAGAGCCCTTGGCCCAGTCCTGGGACAGTGGTTGGGTGACTGGGGTTAGCCTACACTTTCCAGACGTGTTTGCATCTAGTCATGCATTAGGCATCCCTGATGACTGCTCACCTAGGTGGCTGTTCCTGTAGCCACAAAGCTCCACTCCACTATGCTCCCTTTTGTGCAGCCAAGTTCCATCTAAACTGCACTCTTTTAGCCTCAAAAGTTTATTTTCAGCTGTCTTTGCAAAAGTAGCCATGCGTAATTGACTTCCTATATTTAAATAGCATATTCAGGAGTGGAAGAGAAGACAGGACAAATTCAAAACAAAAGATTAAACCCTTGCAAGTGACTGCCACTCCAATTTGCATTTGTTGCTTTATTATAAAGTACCTGTTAACTGATTATTTCTGATTGTTATATATGCTTAATATGCATCAAATACCTGGGAGAAGGAGTCATGGAAAATTAGAAAACAGTGTTGCAGGCCTCTTGGCTGTCCACTCCACCTCCCTAAATCTTCGCTGACCTCATAAGATTCTTCAGAATGTCATTGGCTTCACTCTTGGCTTGTCCGTTGAAGATTTTAGCTGTTAGCCCTTCCGCTGCGACTCCTTAACTGTGAGTTTTTACCTCTAGCTGGGAGCTCGTATCACCTTTTGGCTTCTCATAGGACATGGAGCAGCCTTCAGAGGTGCTGGTCTGACAAGATGTTCTTGCTGCTGTTGGCACATCATCTGTGGAGACTGACGCTGCAGATTCTGGTGGGGTACTCCATATTTGTCAAGGAGGTGAGGGCTGGCTGGTGCTCATCCCTAATCAAGACTGAAATGAATTAAAGATAGGTTAAGATAAACGTGCCAAGATTTTTAAAGCCCATGTGGTCATGAGCGGTTGATGCAAGGGCTATAGTCCAACTTCCCAAGTTTCTATCCATTGCACTGGATTTCCTTTTCACTCTTCTTTATGTGACCTTTAGGGGCATCAGTTGTCACATATTCATTGCTTTGTCCTTTTGAAAAGCACCGCATTGACCTCATTTTCCCTTAGGAAAACCAGAATCTTTGTAACGTGCCTCCAATACAGAGGCATCATAAAACAGAGATGATCATTTTAATGAAGATGATAAAAATATGCAGATTTTTTCCTTAATATTTGGAAATTGATAAACACCAAGTAGCTGAGATTAGAAGGTCATAAAATTGATTAACCTTGCCTTTGTTTCAGAAACCCTTTTCAGCTTGGTTGTATTAGGTATTTACATGCCTATGATGACTGATTAGTTTTTATGCATAAAGCCACAGTGGTCCAGTGCTGAGCAACCAGCCCCACCAGGTCCGCTCCAGGTCTCAGAGATGCCTGATGCACAGAAAGCTCAGTGATAGACACACACCCCGGCCAGTGCAAGGTGATGAGTATAAGGGAGCATGAGCCGAAGTGTAGGAAAGATGACATGGAGAAGCCATCATCCACGGACACGGAAGCACTCTGTCAATTGGAGGAGAGTGTTTCAGTGGAAAAAGCACAGGCTTCAAGTCAAAGTCAGACCTTGGCCCTGCTTCTGTTTAATTTTGTGGTCTTAGGTAAATTGGCTGAATCTCAGATTCTTCATCTGTAAAATAGTAACACAGCTTCTACATGTGCTTGTTGTGAGGTGAGGAGTAAAGAGATTTCTTGCCTATCAAACTGATAATGAAGCTGCCCAGCAGATAATGGTGCTCCATCCAAGTTCCTCTCCTCTTCCTCCTTTGCCTCCCTCTACTCAGAGGAGTCTCAGTAGAGCACCCTGCCCTATGAAACTGTTCATGAAGATTGTGCAGTTCCTGGGACACCGTGGACTTGATATGATCCTCTGAGGCCTGGGCTTGCTTCATCATCCCCAGAAAGATGCCAGCCAGTGATTATTCTTACACCTAGAATATTCCATTCTTTTCTCGATGCAAGTGCTCTTTTCTTAGGTTTTTTTTTTCCCCTTATAAAAGTCCATTATGCAGAGAACACTTATGTCGTTTGTATTACTTGAAGCATAATTGAGGTTGAGACTTTTATTTTTTACCCTTATGATAATAATTTTTAAGTAAATACAGTAAATTGTTTACCTTAAGCATTTAATTAACTTTTTAAAACCTATGATGTTCCGGATCTTAATTTTCCTTTAGTTTCGGGACCTCTTGCTTTATTTCTGACTGTTACTTAAGTCAAGGAGGGGAAATGCACATAGGATCAAAGTTTGTCCTGTTTCTATTTTTCACATCTACCTGGAGAGACAGGATGTGGTATCCTTTTTTGAGTTAACTTTCACTTAATACTTTGTCGACAGCTGGCATTTTGTGTTGAATTAGATGCTCATGTATCTTGCAGGTGGAAACATTTTGTGGCTGAAATCCTTTTGCAGCTTTTACTCGGGCCCATCTCTAATGAAAGTGCTAAGGATATTAAAAAGCCTTTGGTAACTGGAAGCAAAGGTCTTTCTATCGCCCAAGGAAATTATGAAGACCAAGCAAGTGGCCCTTCTGAAACAAAGCCCATCGTCTCCATTTCCAGCACTCAGCTTTTCTGTGTGGTCACAGACCTGGACAGGCTTCAGGAGCAGGCGAGCCTATGTCACAGAGGATTCTAAGTGTGGGGTTCAGGATTTTCACTGTCTGGCCTCATGGGGTTTAGACCTGTGGGCCCAGGGCCCCTGAGATAGAGCATCCTTTCCCTCCTTCTGGCGTTGCCTCCACCCCCTGACTGGCATGCTGTCCTCCTCGGGTAGCAGCCTGTGTTCTCACTGTCGGGCCTCATGGGGTTTAGGCTTGTGGGCCCAGGGCCCCTGAGAGAGAGCATCCTTTGTCCTCCCTCTGGCGTTGCCTCCACCCCCTGACTGGCATGCTGTCCTCCTCGGGTAGCAGCCTGTGTTCTCACTGTCTGGCCTCATGGGGTTCAGACCTGTGGGCCCAGGGCCCCTGAGAGAGAGCATCCTTTCCCCTCCCTCTGGTGTTGCCTCCACTCCCTGACTGGCATGCTCTCCTCCTCGGGTAGTGGCTTGTCTACCATGTGCCTGCCTGGAGCCCTGGCTTCCCCTGAGCAGTGATGCCACAGGCCAGGGCAAGCCAGGCCCTCATTAGCTCTGCTCACCCTGTGGAGCCACGGTCTTTAATGGGTTGGATTCTAATTGTTTCTAGTCTACTTACCCAGTACTTATCCTTTAAAAGTGCTGAACTATATTAAAACGTCTTCCTGTGTCCTCCACATAGGTTTCATGTTCTTACTTTTACCATTAACAGAACTTTGTTTAAGAACAGAATGTGTTTAAGTGCTCTGATACATAATTCAGGTTTTTTCAGGTTTAAGTGTTTTGTGGTGCTTGGACAAATACTGTATGTGCTGAGCAAAAAACATGGTCTTTATCATAAGGATTTTTTGGTATTGAGGGGAGCTACAGAATAGTGTTAATAGCCATGAAAGTACGGTTTTCCATGTTGTTGAATTATTTTCTTCTGAAAGCATTAATTAAGAATTTTGTTTTCCTCTGATGAAAGTTACTGAAAGTTTTGAGTTTAGTTTTATCATTAGTTAACATGCTAGAGCTGTAGGTGCATATAGAAGTGTCTCTTCCTTTGATTAATAAAAAGTAACTTAATATATAAAGTGCATATTTATTTCAGCTTCCAGAACTCTTAGAAACAATCAAGCCAAAATGTGAAGTGACAAGCTTTAAGAATTTTTCTTCCATCTCAGGTAAAAATGAATCTTTAAGATTCAGCAAATCTTTGAATAAGAAATAACTTATAATAGAATTTTGGAGACTAGTATATATTTAATTAACAGTATTCTCTAGTTGTAAATCCTTGGTTTTTCTGTATTCTGTTCTGTGATTTTTAACTTCTCTGAATGAGATATTTAATTCTAATAATTTGATTTGGTTTGGTTTATTGTATAGATTTGAGCCTCTGCCCCACAACAAGAGGAGCCACTGCAGTGAGAAGCCCGCACACCACTAGTTATGGCCCACACTCACCCAAACTAGGGAAAAGGCCACACAAAAAGACCCAACACAGCCAAAAATAAATAAAATCGTATTCCTAAAAAATGCATATCTGACAAAGAATCTGTACTCAAATTGTCCAAGAAAACTAGAGTAAATAAGCCCATTCATAACTGGTAAAGAGTGAAATAGACACCAGGCCATGGAGGGTATACTGATAGTAAACTCTCCTACAGAAACACCCTCAAGATACTGGTGGGATGCATGCACAGCCCCCTTTGGAAGACATTTTTTTTTTTCAGTAACCACATGGGACAAGCACTGAATTCTATACATGACAAGTGGTGGAAGCCAGATATCTTACTTACCATTGGTGTGGGAAGTTACGGATGAACAAAAGGAAAGGTTACAAGATCCATGGAGACATCATCACAAATTACCTTTAACTGAATATGTTCAAAGGTAAGCTGGAATACATGTATATATTTCCAACTATTGTCAGCTGAGTATATTTAGCTCCTACATGTATGTTTTAAATATCATTCTCTAATGAAATGGAACAGGAAATGTCTGTGGTGGTCCAGTGGTAAAGGATCTGCCTACCAATGCAGGGAACACGGGTTCAATCCCTGGTCCTAGAAGATTCCACATGCCCAGGGGCAACGAAGCCCCCCTACAACTACTGAAGTACTTACATGCTCCAGAGCCCACGTTCTGCAACCAGAGAAAGCACTGCAATGAGAAGCCAGGCTCCTCTGTCCTTGGGAATTTTCTGGGCAAGAATAATGGAGTGGGTTGCCATGGTCTCCTCCAGGGGATCTTCCCAACCCAGGGATAGGATTTCTGCATTGGCAGATAGATTCTTTACCACTAGCACCACCTGGGGCAAAAGTGCCTAAATAGAGATCAGGGAAACTCAGTTAGGAGAAGGGACTCTGAGGGCCTTCCCTCAGACTCTTAGTCATACTCAGAGACTCAGTTAGGAGAAGGGACTCTGAGGGCCTTCCCTCAGACTCTTAGTCATACTCAGAGAAGCCCGGCAGGTAGTTCTGCAGGTGGAAGAGGAGAAGGAAGCAGGCTGGACCTCTGTAGAAGATGAAAGAGGGAACTAAAGCAGGGGCCCCCAACCTCTAGGATCTAATGCCTGATGATCTGAGGTGGACCTGATGAAATAACACTAGATGTAAGTGTTGGGTCACTCAGCCATATCCAACCCTTTGTAGCCCACCAAGCTGTTCAGTCCATTGAATTCTTCAGGCAAGAATACTGGAGTGGGCTGTCCTTTCCTTCTCCAGGAGATCTTCCCGACCCAGGGATTGAACGCGGGTCTCCTGCATTGCAGGCAGACTCTTTACCAACTGAGCCACCAGGGAACAGAAAGAGAAATAGAATGCGCAATAAATGGCCTGCACTTGAAACATCCCAAAACCTCCCCCCACCCCTGTCTGTCAAAAAAGTGTCTTCCAGAAAATCTCCCGAGGTCAAGGAAGGAACTTCAAGGGTACTCAGCTGTCCCAGGTTGCTGGCTTCGGGAGATGCTGAAGCAGGGGTGTCCCAAGAGGCAGAACCTCCCTTGCATGGGGTCCTCAACAGACCTCCGATAGCCTTGGTGATGATCAGAGAGATTTGTTTCATTTTTTAAAAATCCATGGCTGATTCAAGTCAATGTATGACAAAAACCACTACAATATTGTAAAGTAATTAGCCTCCAACTAATAAAAATAAATGAAGAAAAA